AGCCGTAAATAAGCTTCACGTTCAGCTGTTAATGCCATATTTGTTATTGTTGTTGAATGTTGCTGTTGCGTTTGTTGTTGTTGTTGGACGTGACCGGATGAATGAGGATCAATAATTAAATGGTGTAAAGAAGGCGTTTGCGATGTGTTATAAGATGCCGGTTGCTAAATATAAAGAACAGAACATTTTTTAGTTATATTCAATCAAATTTTAATATATTGAGAAAGAAAGAGAAAAATAGAAGAAAAAAAAAAGAATTATTACGAACCATCCACCTGTCGCCATACACAAAAAACACACACTTGCTAGTATACATTACGATAAATATATGTATATGTTTCAATTGCATATATATATACTTTTACCTGCTCTTCACATTTGACCATGTCTGTTTTTTTCTAATCACTTTTTGTTTGTAACCAAAAAAAGAAAAATGTATGCTACATGTACGTCAGGGTCAAACAAATGCTTTTTTCGACAACAAGTTGAAGAGTAATCATCATTCCTCGCAGTTTTTTTCTTTCTCTTTTCATGTTACTCGTCATTATTTTTTCTGACTTTTTTTCCTCTGCTTCGTCATTTACATACATCATATAAAAGGTCATCATATATTTAAAAAAAAAAGGAAAAAAAAAACATCACACTAACAATGACTCACCGCTAATGTTGAAGCAGCTGTAGCTGTCATGATTACCATATCTTTCTTTTTTTAAACTAAAACTATTAAGAATTAAAATATTTTTGATCTTGACCGTAATAACACACAGATTCTCTGTCTCGATCTCTCTCCCTTTCACTTAGACTTAAAACAATCTAAATGAAATGTTCAAATGAACAGTAGAAGAGGTCGAACGAAAGAGATAATAAATACCACAGAGAGAAAGAGAAGAACAAGAGAGAGAGAAAAAAACTAGACTATATACATACACAAACATATATATATACAGTTTGATTAATGAGCAGCCGGTACATCTCACAAGCAACTGACTGTTATCTACAAACATACTGCTCATCACATCTATTCTTTTCTTTTTCCTGGTGCTGTATATCTCTAGTTTCATATCGTATGTGAGATCATCTGGAGGGCACATCAGGTCACTAAAAAACGATTTAATATATAAACAAAATAGAAAATAATAATAAACAATTAGCTTGAAGGGAAAAATTTTTGACAGAAACAAAGAAAAAAAAACAACAATCTTTTTTTCTCAAATGATTAAATCAAATTTCTTTTTCTTTTTTTTTTTCAAAGAAATCTAACCAATCATTAGATTGCTCAATGTCATATTTCATTCAAATATTAATAGTACAATGTAAGGTCATCAATCGATCGTCATCATTGAATTATTCATTAGATAGTGTTGTCGACGGGATGTATCAAATTAGTTCGAACTTGGAATAATCCAACTGTGAATTAACAAGAGGATAATGAAACACGTCCTATACTATTTAATTATCTCTTCTTTCGTGCTGTGTTCATCGATGAACAAAAAAAATAGTTAGAAGGCGGAGTTATATATAGTCATTTATATATATATACATGTCTATGGAGATAGTAAGCAAACAGAAGATACATCACCTCGAGCGTTGGCATGACAAGTACCCAACGAGTCTGTTCAATACTGTTATTTAATGATGCAGAACGTTGTCGACGTAAAGGTGATGAACAACAAGTAGCAACAGCATTTGCAGCAGCTAAACGAGCTTGTCGTTCAAGACTTGTATCTAACTGACGATGATGTCGACTATTCGATGATGAAGATGATGTCATTTAGTGCATATATGCGAATAAGAAGTGACAAAAAAAACACATATAAATCACATTCTAACGACAAGAGATAGATACAAAGGACGAATAAACGAATGGTTAGAGAAAAAGAAAAAATGACCACGACTACTACTATAGATTAAATATATATCGAATCAAAACAGAACAGGACAGCATCGATAGCGACATTATCAAATGATGTCATACGATGTCGATAAAAGAAAAAATAATTTTTTCTCTTTTTTTTGGCGTGTCAATGAAGAAAAAAAAAGACGAAATCGGATTAAATCCAATTTCAATCATGCAAAAAAAACAAACGTTTTTATTAACATGACATTATGACTTATTTAAATAGTTTCTTATCAAAATACACACAAACACATATCTATTCAAAATTCAGAACACGAGAATAAGTAAATATATGTTGTGGAAATAGTTGTTTTTTCATTAAAAATATTCAATGGAAATTACCTGATGAGCAACGACAGTTGACATTTTTTTTTCTCTCTATAAGAATATTTAAATTTGTCTATATTCGTTAGCAATTGATTAAAAAACTACTAGTTGTACACGACTGTATATGTCTTAGTGAATATGTATATGTATATATGTATGCTTGTGCGTGCGGAGGTCGTTGTTAGTTTTCCCCCCGTTTTAATCTATAATAGACAAAGGCACATCGTTCTCTGTCTCCCTCTCTCTCCCCTTCTTGCCTTGTCTTTCTATTCTCTATGTTCTCAAGCTAAATCAAGCGCACACAAAACGCGAATAGACCGATGAAAAGAAGATGCAGAATAAGAAGAAATAAACCGACCGAAAGGAGAGAAGGCGAATACTCTCTTGTTCGTCGTCACACGATGTACTCATCACCATCAGCCTAGCCAGTCAGCGACGACCATTGCCGCCGTTATTGCATGCAAGATTAGCAATATACAAGAAAAGCGAGAACAGTGGGTTTGATGAAGAAGGAAAGGGTGGAGAAGGGAGGGCGAATGAAAAAGAGAAAGAGAGATGAACAGACAGATCGGTCGACACAACGAACGAACAGTCGTCGACTTCCGGTCGCGCAATACAATGTATTTATGAGCGAGCGAAAGGAAATGGGGTGTGTAGCGTGCAATTATGAAAGAGTCTGATTTGATAGCTAAAGGTGCAATAGATCGAATATATATTGATATATATATATATATGTAGTGTTGCTTCATTCATATTGATTGTGTCAGATACGTTTAACACGCCTTTTTATTTGTCTCAAATTAAAAAAAAAAGGCTATTTACTTCAAGAGAAAAAGTAATGAGATAGATGTAGATTTAATGAGTTTTCTTTTCTTTTTTCTATTGCACAGTGACATATAAAAAAAAAAAAGAAAGTAAATTCTAGGGTTCTCTCACTGTCTTCGTCGAATCTAACTGACAGGCTATCTCATGCTTGATTGAGAACTTCGCTTTATTTGTTTCTGTATTTCTTTTTTAAATGACGATGTGTTGACAACCAAAGCTCTCCATGTATACAGCCGAAATAAGTGATGCCTCTTATTTCATCATTCAGTCCTATGCGTCAAGAAGGATAAAAAAAAGAAAGCTATCCTTCCTTTTGATAATAGTCATTCGACAAAAACAGCTGCTGCCTTCCTGTATGTTATTACATTTTTTTTTCTTTATGAAGCACACACAGACATAGAATAGAAAAAAACAAAGGCAAACAAAAGAATGATTAAAATGAACAAAGATTTTAATTAACAACAAGAAAAAAAATGATATTTCAAGTATTCATGTTTTCTTCTCTATGACAAAACTTTCTAGTGACAACATGATCAACATACAATACATTTCCGAATGAAGTATTTTGTCTTTTGTAATAGAACATATTTCTAACTAAATTTGCTTTCTCTGTTCTTTGTCATTGACTACTCTTATATAATAGTCGATTAATTCGATTAGAGACTAGCAAGTACCCAAAGAAAAGAAATTTTCTTTTTTTTTTATCTTTTACATACACATGTGTTAGGTCAATGATGAAAATTTCCTAATCTTGATATTCTACTTACCGTATAAGATGAGAGTACTTCAATGAAATGGGAAATGGATCACCCACTAGTGCGACCACAAAAACATTTAGGAAGAGGTAAGGGACTGTGTTTCGTCGTTGTCGTTGTCGTCGATTGCACTACAGGCCGCCACTAACACCAACGTAGTCGTAAGAAGGGAGAGTAGCAAAAAAAAATCTACAAGAAGAAACGAGAAAAAAAAAGAAAGAAAAGAAACTGGGACAGAAAAGAGGGAGAAGGAAAGCAAGAATAAGAACAACAAGCCTCTTCTTCCTTCCTTGTGCGTATTACTTTATGTGTGTCGACAGCCTTAAAGCAAACGAGTAATAGTAAAGGCGAATAGACAGCATTCTATTCTCTACTTCAGAATAACGCATCTTTTTTTCGAGACCAAAAGCAATAGCAGCCGTTGTATTTCTCAATGTGAAACGACATTGTTTCATCTGACATATTTGTTCTTTCATGATGTATATAAATTGTTCACAAAAAAAATCTACTGATGATCAATCATGCATCAAATTTGATTTAGAAAAGCCTAACGAACAAGAAAGAGAGAAAAAAAACGTGCTACTTATAATGATCGTCATTCGATACGACTAATAAATCAAAAGTTATTTTTTTTCCTCTTTTTGACTCTATCGTTTTTGCACAGCTGTTACCATCAGTACTCACAACATTACAGCATTGCCTTCCAAACACAAAGATAAGATGTATGTGCATATGTGTGTGTGTGTTCGTGCACTTGCACACAAGAGGATGTTGTTATTTTCTGTTGTTTTTCTTGTTGTTGTTGATGATGACGTTAAAAGTGGTAACGTGCGTCTGTGATGGTGACCTGAAATCAGTAGAATATGCATAACTTCATCTTTTCGTGTTCGTTTTGTCACAGAAAAAAAGTAGAAAAAGAGAAGAGAGAAGGAGACATGATTAGGAGTTAGGTTGACTGTGTTTGTGGACGCAATGAGAATAGACAGGATGGAAAACAGTAAACGAGAACGAAAGAAGAAAAAAAATAAAAAAAAAAGAAAATAAGAACAGAAAACGATGATGCTTTTTTTCTTGAGGAGGAGTATGAACACAAACGCAAGCAAAACAAATTGTCAGATATTTTCTCTTCTTTTTTTTCTCTTCTTTTTTTTTATGAGTCTGTGCGTGTGTGCGTGTGTATGTGTATGTCTGTATGTCTATTGTTTCTTCTGCTTATGTTTGCTTGCATTTGTCATTGTTAATAATTTCAAATTACAAATAAATATGATAAAATTAAGTACATACATTCCACAACAGACAACACATATATCATGTAAAACAAAATAAAGTATATAACCAAGATAAATTGAGCCAAGATTAGTTATTATTGATAAAAAAACACGTAAACGAGCTATTGTTTTTGATGCATATGATCGATTAAGAATTATCGATAAACAATAATAAATCACAGCAAATAATGAATCTGGTATATTAAATACTGAATCAGATTTAAATAAACCAAAACCTCGACCCCATCGAGATGTTAATACACGTGAGCAACTCATACGTTCATTGATATCACAGGCAGCTCGATAAGTTGGATCACTTATTTTACGTGTTTCAACATAGAATGCATATAATGAAAGACCAATACCAACTAGACATAATGCTGTTGCTATTTGACGATAAACAGACATTGCACTCGGTTTGGTTGATATACTAGTGAACAGAAACTATAATAACTAATTGAAAATTTTTACATAACAAGATGAAAATAATTATGAAAAAAAACAATAATTAATTTTCAGATATGATTTTTAAGGAAGTGTTAATAGAATAAATTAATGCCGATATAAAATTATTTCATGGAAATATTATATTTATGAACATTTGAAATATATTAGATTATTTGTATTTGAAACTAACTGACATGTCTTCAAATACAAAAAAAAAAAGAACGAGATTTAAAAGTAAATATCGTTGGTCGTAGATATAGACTATGTTTTTTTTAAAACTTTTCTTTCTGTTCTCATACTATCGATTAAAAATATCTTTCATGTTATACTAATGATAATTAATGACTTTTTTTTTTTACATTATATTACATACCTTGTTGTTAGATGTTAGTGTTGATTGTAATACCGATTAATAATTGATAGTACCGAAGAATAATTATCTATGATAAACTTTGAAAAATGTAATGATTTTAGACATAAATATTCATATGTATTTCTCTATTATACTTCATATTCATACCTTTATTTATTTACATATTGAGAAACAGACATAAGATATTCGACATTATTTTGTATATCCATAAAAGAAAAAAATTTTATACTACTGTACATGAATAATAAAATATTGCAGCATATTACAAAAGATTAGTTAATATAATAGGTTTTTTTTAGGAAGTACAATAAATGCAACGAACAACCTTTGTTTTACTGCATACATACAATACAATGGATGAATGTACGAAGATATGCATGAAAAGATAAAACGAATCATACAATACAGAGAAAAAGAAAAGAAAAAAAAAGAAAAACTAAACTAAACAAAGAAAATATCGATTATCATGTTTTAATATTATTTAATTTCATATCATATGTTGGTTGAAGTTTGAGAAAAAGATTATGTCGTGATAGACTAACTTTTTCATTAGTATCATCATTGATTGCATCTGTTGTTGTTATTGATGTTGGTAATGAATCATTATTTAATAATAATTTTTGGGCTGATAATTCTTGTGCTGATTTTGTTTGTTTTAAATTTGACGAAATTGAATCTGTTGTAAATATTAATGAACGTTGTTGTTGTTTAGCTAATAATGTAGCTATTGATGATGCTGATGATGATGTTGAAAGATTATAATTTGATGTTGAACGTGATGATGAATGATGTGAACGGTTAAATGATGATGATCTTGATGAAACTGAATTTGTTGTTAGTGTAGGTGATATATGACGTTGACGAAATTTTTCTCGAATTTGTTGCAAAAGAAAAAAACAATCTGTACATATATCAATTGGTTCTGTATGCCATTTTGTAGTACCAGATTGTTTATGAGCATTGCCTGGTGTTGAACAACGACGTGTTCCACTATCATCATAATTTATATCATGCATTGTGGGTGTTAGAGGAGATCTAAAATGGATTAAGAGTTACATCCAAAGAGAAAAAAGAAAACTATTAATACCATTCTTTAGGGAACAAAATGACTAGGAAATAGTGAGAGTAATAGAGTGTAAAAAAAATCTTTGTAATATATTTGATAGGATTAACAAGAATATAAATTTTTATCTTTCATATTTTATTTGAGCTATATATGTATTGGAATAGATAGTGAAATAATTATATCTAGTTTTTGTTCATTTAATAAAACATGTTTACATAAATGTATGAGTTATAAATGGAAAATTTTTTTTTCTCTCGAGAATATTTTGAAAGTTGGTAACAGTAAAAAAATTTGTTTTTTATTCGCTTTTATTACGACTTAAGTACCTAACATTATTTGCTATTATACGACCTCAATCACTCTTTTATGACTATTGAGCTAGCAAATAATTCGGATACGTCCAAAGTCTAATAAGAAAATGCTTCAGAGTAATCAGAAACTTTTAAGCGTTTTCCGTAAATGTGGAATATTAAAATCATTATATATAAAAAAAAAAGCTTTTAAATAAAATAAAACAATATTTTTCCTATTCAAAACATTTTTACTCTTTGATATACTCGAATGAATCATTGTTTTATATATATATATATATTAAACTATCTATTTGTTTTCCTATAGCTATATATTTACTAAAAATACATGCAGAAAAGTATTACCATAATTTCTTATAGCTACTGTCAACTGTAAGTATCGGATTTCGTTTGATATAAATACTTACTGTGTATCAAATGAATGATATCTATCACCATCTAATAATGATTTTGTTAGTGATAATGGAGTAAATGCTTGAATTGGTAAATCATTTAATCTTTCCTTTGGTAAAGCAATCTAATAAAATACATATATATAAATTTGCAAAGAAAAAGAAAAAAAAGAAATATGTTTTTTCCTACTTGTGTAACACAATTTCGACAAACTTTTTGTTTACAAACATTACATTGAATACCAAATGTAAATGTCAGTAAATTAAAATGAACTTTTCGACATGTAAAACATAACTAAATGAATAAAAATTTAATAGTCGAAAAAAAAACTTAATTCATAATTTTCTTTAAATTTACTTTGCCATAGGCAACTTCAGTATAAAGTTTTTCATTAAATAATAAATTTTCTAATTCAGCTCGTGTTATAACATTTCTTATATGACAAAATTCTGTGTATGTCAATGATAATGTATCTGGACTATTTTTCATTAGCTAAATAAAAGAATGAAATTAATATTTATGAATACTTATTTCGATATAAATTAAAAAACATTCATTTAATAATACCTGTAATATACGCTCTTGTAGTTGCATGATTAAGTGCACGGGTAAATCAATTTACAACTAATGTCCTATGTTATGTCGAGTGGCAGCTCATAGAATGGAAGACCTCGCTTGTTCTTCTGCTATGTCGACGAATGATTTACTACATCAACATCCCTTCTGTTTCCCTTATGTTCGCTGTTTCTCTTTTCTCTTTTTTTTCCGGGTGTTGGATCACTAGTAAGCGTAGGAAGAATCTTTTTTTTTCTTGTCAGTCGGTAACAATTCGAAAAAAAAAAGCCTTAGAAGCATTCATTACAGCCGCTCTTTTTCTTCTTCTTCTTTATTTTTATAACGGATGTATGCGCGCATATATATGAGTGAACGAGCATAACAATCAGTCAGACTAAAAGGTACTAGATAATAACCTACTTACTGAGTACAGCATAATGAGATAAAAGCATTAATAAGAAAAGGAAATAAACCAAGCTGAATAATTGTTTTCCATAGAATTATATTGTAATTAGAGGTTTTTTATTTATTGTATATTTCATTTGTTTAGGTAGTGTTTCATTATTTATGAAAATATTGGGTAGTGAATTGATATATTAAATAGTAGTTTTACTTACATTTCTTCTAATATTGTTAATTTATCTTTCGATAGAAAAAGAAAACACTAATAGAATTGTTTTCTAGTTATATTATTTGTTCTCCATATGATCATCAAATAAAGATTAGGATGATGATTAAAGAAGACAATCAATAACAGCAAGTTGTTGTTTTCTTTCATAGTCATCTCGATATCCACCATTTGAATTTAAATCGACCTATAATAATTTCTAGAAATATTAAATAAAAGTAATAATAAAATAATTCTTTACTTAAATATGATATGTAGTATTTTTTGTGATTAGAATAGTTAATTATAGATTTTTTTAATTGTTTGAAGTTAGCTGTTGTTTTTTGATTTATTTCAAGTATTGAACGATGAAGTAAATAAAAAAAAGTCATTTTTATGAATTGAATTTGAATTTAATCTAAAGAATAAAAGGATTTATATAAAAAATAAATGAATTTTTGTTTTTTTACAATCGATGATCATTTTTCTCATAGATCGTTGACAATTTTAATGTTTTAAAATGATCTAATACAATGTTTTTTTTAAATTAAATTGGAAATATTCAATTGTTACATCGTTTCATAAAGCTGTCTAATAATATTCTGAAAAAACATTTTAAAAGAAATTTTTTTCAAATCTAACTTACATTGAATACTAACTTATCTACATAGTAGATTTTTGGGATAATAATTTAACGCCACTAAAAATTAAAATACAGTTTGTATTTTATTATAATATTTACATATTGACTAATATCGTTTTTATTATGATCATTATACAACTTTCAAAATTCATGTGAACGATCTAATTTTGATCATATTGAACAATATAAATAATCTATTTCTGTATCAAAATAATAAAAATTTTAGAGGAAAAAATCAAATGAAAAGTGAAAATATTTATTTACAAGTCCTGTATTGATTTTTTTTTTCACATCATTTATTAATAAAACAAATAAAGAAATCCATTAATCAATGAAGAAATTTTTTACATTTAATCTTTGATATTTTTGTACACACCAATGTTTTATCAACAGTAACATTGCTCTTAGTATCAATCTTTACTAATAGTAAACCAATTGGGATATCAATATATCAAGTAATTCATTGAATAAATGTTAAAATTTTTAATGAAACGATTAATAATTAATCATATAAAGCTGATTCTTGACTTATTCGTAAAATATGATTAAGTACAGATACTGTTTTATACAAAGCATATACGGTTCATTGAAAGGAAAAAGCTCTACAAAAAAAGAAAACAAAACCAATGACGTAGATTTGATTAATAAGAATGCTGAGAAATAATAGTCTTAGTCTTAGGTGGGATTTATGTATGGATGTCTCTTAGGTCAAAAAAAGAAAAAAAAAATGAATTAAAATAAATTGCATTAACTAACCAATCAACCTTTCTATAATGATTCATATATGATTATTAATGGATGACAGAGAACGAATGATATTATATGGTGAAGACTTCCTTTTTTTAAAGAGTTCCTTACATATCAACGGAATTAATAAAAAATCTTTTTCATGAAGTTATATCGTTTCATTGATTTTTCAATTTGTAACTAGATGTTCTCAAGAAAAGACATAAAAACTACACATATTATATTCTTTGAATTTTGTAAAGTATTACGTACATTTGATTACTTTCAGAAATAAATGGCAGTTTTTAATTATGATACTATTCTTTCGCAATAATTAAGTGATCAAATTCAAGTAAACTTCTTTTCTTCTGTATCATGTATATATATATATATATATTCGATAACAGTAGATCTCATTCAAAAAAATTTGTTGACAATTAGATATAATACTTGATGTATAAATCATCTATATAAGAAGTTAATAAAATATATTGTATTTGAATATGAGTTTATTCGGTTTCAGTAGAATACAGACGACATTCGATCAGTTATACAGTTTGATTGTTCAACATAATCAACAAAAAGAAAAGGGTATCAATGCAATCATAATATGTAATCAATTCATGATACGACATATATTATAGTGATATATAAAAGTAAATATATAATCAACTACTACAGATTCCAAAACTTGAATTGAAAAGAAAATGGGATTAGTTTTTATACAAAAAATCATAATCTATTCTAAGTACATATATATATATATGTATATATACATATATTAACCTGTGAATTATACTTGGCATCAATTTTCATATTCGTTGAATTTAAACATTTTAAATATTCAATATTATTTTAAATAACCTTCCTACATAAAATAAATTATTACAGTCTTTTAATAGATTTGAATATCAAAGTTATTTGTCATCAGTTTGACGTTCTTCTCTTTAATATAAACATATGAGGTAAAAATTACATCACTGATGTTCTCGTCATTTATGGTATATACGTTAGATTTGAAGTTTCAATAAGAGAATATTTAATGTTTAACTAAATAGTTCTATATCTATTGAATGTGCAAGTGTTGTTTTAGTTATGTCTATACAAACACATGCACACGTAGAGTAACTACGACAACCAGCATATTTCATCATTCTTCTTTGTACGTGTGCCTACCTATCGATATACATTGTCGATAGGTCTCTCATATTCTAATTGCAAATAGTCTGCGATGCCTCTCTCTCTCTTCACTCTTCATATTTCATCCTTCGAACTCTAAGAAGGAGAAAGACATACTCAGAGAACTTGTGATTGTTCTTTTTCTCTTTACTGTATCGACGTAATCACAAACGAATAGAGAAGAACAATCTTATCCGTTGGCCGACTTACTGCCTATCAACAAATAAACAAAACAAAAAAAAGCAAAGAAGAATATCTATATTGAACAACTCTATATAAAGTAAATTGTCTTATTCTTTGAAAAAATTATTACTGACAGAAGATTTATTTGTTCAGAGTATGATTGACGATACGTTAACAACAACGGCGACTACAGTGGTCACTCACAATCGACGTTTATCTATCATGACTATTTTTTTAGCATCAATGGCTTTTCTCTTGGTCATGACATCAATAGCCGCTTTTATTTATATTACTCGGAAAGGTAAATGATTTCCATAGAGTAAAACAATAATAAAGAAAAAAAACCTATTATATTCATATTAAGAAAAAATTCTTCGTAAATTTCATCTTATATCAGTACTAATTATTATACTTGTTGAACTTATTGTACTAATTGCTGTTGTCATATGTTGTATTACACAATCAAGAAGTAAAATTCAAATCAATTTATTTCTCTTAAATATTAATTCTTTACACTTTTCGTAAAGGTACATTAGGTCAAGTTTTAGCTGCTCTTCTAATTCTTCTTTCTCTTCTCTCTCTTATGACATTGATCTATTTTTTACGTAAGTTTTTTATTTATCTTGTATTGTGTTACAATATATCTCTTTTTATTTTTTAAACAGTTGAAGATATTATCAAAGAAAGAGTTGAACCAAATCCATGTGATTTCAGTCCATATAAATCCTATGAAGTACAAGAAATCAAATCTATTAGTCAACACGAATCACCCATACCAGTTTCGGCTGATGATGCAGCAACGCCAATTTTTACACCACCTGTACTTACACCATTTCCTCGCATACCAACTCCACCTGCTCCAACTATTTCTCCATCATTAGAAAAACCAGTAACTCCACCAGTAGAAAAATCAGTAACTCCACTAGTAGAAAAAATTATTACTCCACCACCACCACCACCACCACCATCATCATCATTTGTACAAAATATTTTTTCATTTCCACAAGCATCACCTTATGTTGTTGATTTTGATAAAATTCGTCGAGGTTGGTATTTTCGTTTGTTGTTCTTTTGATTTTTATTTTAAAAAATGTACATTCAAATATCAAAGTATTTTTCTTGTACAGACTTATTAGCAGCTATTGAAGAACGAACAATTCCAGCACTTGAAGAAGCTATTCAACAAGTTAAAGATCATAATTATTTTCAACAGTTAAAATATGAATGTGAACGAGCTTTAGAATTGTTAAATCGTTTAGTGAAAATTGAACATATGAAGTGAAGAATTTCTTTTTCAAAAAAAAAAAAACAAAGAACGATTCATATTCAAATATTTTATTATCTTCATTTAGAATTAGAGTACTTCGTCTTAATCAAGCAACAATAGCTGAATTACATAGTTACGCTAAACCACCCGATGAAGTGTTAACGGTCATGCGTGCGACGTTTTTGCTTCTTGGCCATTCAGAAAAAGAAATACAAGTAAAACAATCAGAAAAAATGTATCTGAGAGATACGCTTCTGTATTTTTTTTAAGGAATGGACACAAATTCAAAATCTACTGGGTCGTTTAGGAAAAGAAAGTGTACGTCGTCGATGTTATGAACTGAATCCTCTTAGTATTACGGTTGATAAAGCACATGAAGCAAAAGATATATTAAGAAATTATGACTTAATACGTGTTAGTGAAATTTCTGTTGGTTTAGCAGCTTTTTTCAGTTGGGTAAGATGTATGAATAAGAAAATGATTTGTGGAAATAGAAATTTATTTTATAAAATAGGCAGTGACAATGATTGAAGAACGAGAAAAATTATTAGAATCACAACGAACAATTCTACGATGAACAGACAATTATATGTATAATTAGCTTATTTCTTTTCTTTTTTTTTTTAATGTAAAGATATATTTCTTGTTCTTGTAATTTTTCAAATGATACAAATATAAAGATTGAATATAGAATATAGAACGACGATGTTTACATATATTTTTAGAAAAATTCATTGACTTCAGCACGTTGATGATAGTGAAATTTAGGTAGAAACAAAATTTTGATTAACATCTTTTCATGATGTTTATCAAAATCTTTTGTAAGACATATATTAAAAGAAGTACAATGTTGTGATATGTAATTCTAACATTTAAGCTTTGAAAACGAAGTTTTGTTCTTTAACTACACTGCATGTATAAAGGTGATATTCTATAACAATTTCATTAATGCTTGTCAAATCAGCAGTCTATATTTGAGATCTTTATGACTAGGTCAAGATGAAAAGAAATCTCAATGTTATTATGGGTATTTCAAGTGAAAAACACATTGGTGGACCCGATTAAAATTTATTAGGTTTTAATTAGAAATGAAATCGTACAACTTTTTATTCAGGGCTCTTAAGTATGGTTATTATCTAATAGAAACAATATAGTTTATTTACACTTCTAATTAAAAAACAAATTAATTTACCACAAAGAATTTCGCAGATGAATGATTCCGTCGTCTAGCTCTATGCATATTCGATTTTGATGCGTCAAAAAATGTTATGAACATTGAAGCAAGACTATAATAATCGTACCTCATATCCATTTTCATCTAGAATCGAAATAATCCGAGCATCGAATTACCTTTTTTCACATTTTTCCAACTTTTTATAATTTCTCGGTTGAAATCTTGGTACACCATTCATATGTTTGATTATTAAAATGTGTGTTTGTGTATGCTTTCTCTAGCTTTATTCTTGATGATTTTGAAGAGATTCATAATAGTAAATCTTGCAGTTGTTATGTTACACTAACAAAAATACGTGCGAGAGCCACAACATTTTTATGATATGTTCATCCCTTGTTTGAACGTGAAAAGCAATTACTTTCTTTGCCTGTAATCTTGGATCATCTCATTACTAGATGAACCTCAAAGGTTTCTACAGGAGCTAAGTCCCTCCAGTAACGTTTAGACTTCGCCATTAACAAGATACTGAGGCATTATATCTTTGCTTACTGTCATAAATCCGCCAAAGATAATTATCAGCAACTGTTACCACGAAATGAGATAAATCAGTTAATCATAAAATACTTATGAAACAAAGCTACTTTGAGAATAATGAAAACAGTGCAATCTAGGAAAGTCAGGAATGCTCTAATTCGAAATTCCATTAGAATTTTATTATCGTGAAATTAAAAAACTCAGACAACTCGATTTATTTATAAGTATATATATATATAATAGTATTCCTTTTCATTTTGAATCATTCATCACAACATGGCTTCGACAAATAATACAACATCAACAGATCTATGGTATCTCTTTCTTGATCATTTGGCTTCTCTCTCTGCTACTCCTGGCCGTTCGATTATTTTTATTATTCTCATCATTTTTTTAGTTCCATCTATAGTCTGTTCAATTTATCTCTTCTATGAATTTATTAAGCGTCGTAATCTACTTTATCAATCAACAAATTTGGTTGTTATCTGTCTTTTGATTATTAATCTCTTACAAGCCACGACAGATCTACTTATGTCATTGATTTTTTTGAAAAATAAACTTTCTTCCAGCAATTCCTACTGGTTTTGTGCGTTATGGAGAATACTTGAACAATCTCTAGGTCCTATTGGGCTATGGTTGATGGCATTCGGTAGTGTAGTACGTTATTTGTTTGTATTTCACTCTACTGTACTCAAACGACATAAATTTGTCCTTCGATACATACCAATTGCCTGCTGTCTTCTTGTACCATATTATTTTTATGCAATACTTATTCTATTTCCTCCAGGATGTCAAAATATTTTTCATCCAGGTCATTATATATGCGCAGGCGCATGTTTCAATATGATTTCCATACTGGTTGCTTTAGCTATGGAACTCAACATTGCAATACTCATTTTTATTATGGTCATTGGCAATATTCTGCTTGTTATTCGAGCTTTTCACCAAAAGCGACGTATGCAACGGAAGCATGTCTGGGCAAAGAATGCACAAATGGTTATACAACTAATTAGTGTAGCCATTTTATACAGTGCTTGTTGGCTTCCAACTGTCTTCTTAATGCACATCAATATGTCACTTAATTTACAATCTGAAACTATCTCTTTCGTAATGAGTAATTATTTATTCTATATGCAATATATTGGGAGTTTACTTTGTTCTTTCGTGAGTTTAGTTGGACTTTCAGAATTACACGATCATTTACAAAAAGTTTTTCGAATTAGAAGACGTCTCATGGCTGTAAACATTATCGAAATGAAACCACATAAAACAACTGTCTTAGAGCAATTTGGAACAACTAATGCACAACAAATCGGAAGAAACAAATGATCTCATATTTGCATATTTGAATACTCTATCTTTTATTGCACTTATTATTCAAACAAAAAAAAAACAAAGAATCAAAAATTGAGTACACAAATGAAAAACTTATGTTCATTGGTTTAGTTTTTTTTGCACATATATTAGATTTTACTTATACATTTCGATTGATTTCTTTTAAGTGTATTTCAATAAAAGAGAAATTTAAACAAATCACATCACATAGTTAAAAAAACGATTTATGTTCACCTCCATAGTTCGCACAAAGCCATATACACATCTACGAAAGGTAGATATCTTGCAAACATGGATAGATCATTTTTGTTGATTATATGAGTGTACTATTTTATAGAAACTTAATTATAGATCAAAATACAAATCAGTAGCCTTTCTGTGGCCATAGACGCTATCATTCATTACAACTCAATGTCCACTTTTGATATCGACTAGAAAAACATCATAAAGAAAAGAGTAGAGTTGAATGAATATACATTCTTCTTTTTATTTTTAGTATTAATTAACATCAATCTCATCATTTACAGACAACAATTGGCCTCATCATGATTATAAACACAAAAAGAAGAATGATGAAATCGACAATTTTGAAGGACAATCAAGGTATTATTTTTGTTACTACGAAGTCTTTAGAAAAAAAATAATCACATGTTAACCTTTTTGCTTAATTTTATTACCTTTCTCTATAATGATGATAATCTCTAGAATTGAATCCTCAAATATCTTTTATACTTTTCTAGTAGAAATAAATTTTCTTTCATGAAATGTGTAAAAATGTATTTTAGCTATACATCATCGATTATAGAATGATACACAGAAATTTGAATTTTCTGGAAATTGGAATTTATCATGCTCTCCTAAAACAAGCGTACACCTAAAGAGCACGTATAACGTTGTACTTAAACTATGCTGAGTAGTCACGTTACGATTACCAAACGAACAACTATATAAAACAACATGACAGCTAATCTAAATTAGCAGTTAAATGATTACCTGATAAATCTATAATAATTACTGTGCAAAAGAAAAGATTGCAGGCACATTAATGTATTGATATTCTGATTAGCGAAATTGGTGATATTTATATTCAGTTTATTACAAACAGAATTTCAAAGATCAGAAGTGTATGACAAAGTATTACAAAGGACGAATATGATCTATATTCCGCTGTAGTATTCAAAATTATGCCAGAAAAAAAAATATACTAGAAGTATTTCGCCATTTGGATAAAAGATAAAATTCTTGTCAAGTCAATTGCATTAATAATAGATTCACAAATCTTTTTTTTATTTTTTAAACCTTGATAAAGTCTAGAAGAATTCGATAGGGTTGTACCTAAGATAGAAGAAATTCATCAATATGTTCAAGTTATCGAAGATTAGTACAATTTTAGAAACGCATCAGTTGGAAAGTCTAAAGTGCATTTATTCATTTATAGTAAGACTATAGCTGGCATTATTATTCATTGAATTTAAATTTCCATGATCAGTATAGTGAGAAAATACAGAATAGGTTTTCACTAATACAAAATGATAACATGTATTATTATCATATACTTCATCCATGATTAAAACTAGTGTCGAAAATGTTAAATTATGCGTAACATGTAAGACACATAATGCCAGGGAAGTGTCTAATCCCTTCATATCGACAATTTTTTTTGAAATGTAATGCTTTCTTTCGTAGGATCGGAAATTATTTCCAACATTGTTTATTAAATGTTTCACTCCTAAAATTTAAGATAAAATGAAATACAATCATTCAGTTTTTTAATTATTTTATTTTTGATTTAAAACATGTATATATGTATATAACTTTAAAATTTCTATTCTGAAATGAAACACGGAAAAAAGAAAAAACAACTATACAATGATTAATATCACAAATGCACACAGACACACATACATATATATGAAGTTAAGCATCTTCAGCAATGCTTGTTTCTGTATACTTAGGCAATAACCTAGTCGTACTAAAAATATCAGCACTTGAATTAATTGCAACAGCATATGCATCTTCATCATCTCCATCACGATCAAATAATAATTGTATATTTTCTGATTGACGATGCGGTGTTGTTATATATTGTCCACCCATACTTCCAGATGATGACATTGATGTTGTTGATAATCGTTTTATTCGTCGATCAGCTGAATATCGTTCAACAATAGTTGTATCATCATCAGCTGATGATGTTTGTTGTTTGTGTTGTTGTAAATATTGTTTATATTGTTGTTGTTCTATTTCAAGTTCATGTAATATATTACGAATATCTTGAGCAAGTTGTTTAAATGATGGACGTTGAGCTGGATCAGTTTGCCAACAAAGAATCATTGCTGATTTATACAGTAATTGAGGACAATAAGTAGGTTGAGGAAGACGATAACCATTTTTAACATACGTAAAAATATCAGCATTATCAATGCCAGGATATGGTGTTTTACCACGACTCAATAATTCCCAAAGAAGTACACCATATGACCACTAGACAAAATGAGAAAAAGACAAGAAACGTATATTGTATAAATAAATTTTTATTGAAATCTATTAACTAACCACATCAGATTGAAATGTATATCTTGATGTTTCAATTGATTCCGGACTAAGCCATCGAATAGGTAAACGTCTTGGTGGTATCTGAATAGCGAATCCATCTTTTTCTTTTGTTGTTGTTCGTGGTACAAGATAATAGTCTCTATCAAAAACATCTCGACTAAGACCAAAATCAGATATACGACATATGAGATTTTCATCAAGCATACAATTTCTTGTTGCTAAATCTCGATGAACAAATTTAAGTGAAGATAAATATTCCATTCCATCAGCTATTTGAATACCCCATGTAATTAATTGTCTTACAGTTGGTCGATTTTTTTCATTTGATATATAACTTCTAAGATCACCATTTTTCATATATGGTAAAAGTACCATAGCTTTACGTACTGAATCCCATGCAACTCCAATTAATGAAAGAACATTTGGATGTGAAAAATCTTTCATACGATTTGCTTCAAATAAAAACTCATGCATGGATGCGACATTTTGATCTAAAAGATAAATATATTTTATTGAAATTAATTTTTATTTAAAAGAAATACTAGATGGTAATTTTGAACTCTAATAGAGTTTTTATCTGAACGATATTCGTACAGGATATGTGTTATAAGCTATATAAATCGAGTTTGAATACTAATAAAGGTTTAACTGGCTAACTGCAACTTCTAATATGAACTAGTTGATCTTTTTATTTAATGAAAGGCATCGAGAAAAATTTGTCTCAATAATAATTTTATTCCAAATAAGAACTTGACTGCAAATTGTGAGGGAACGTTTCTAAATGTTAAGTCGCTTTTGAATTGGAACTATGTGCATTGTGTAGATACTAATAAGTTATGAATACTCTGACAATAGTGTGTAATTGTACTTTTTAGCAGAATAGATTATTGAAAAAGTTTAAAATCTTTTAGTCGCTTTTATTCTAAGATACGGCAATGGTTAAAAATATATCTTTCATGTTGCTCATATGCGCTGGCTAATATCGATGCTCTTTATTTCAGAATAGGTATAATCGAAAACTTTGCAACTTTTACAATGAATTTTTCTCTTATTTACGTAACTATTCTCTTTCTTCGAACATAAATAATTAATTTTAAAAAAAATTCTATGCGAGTTAAAAAGATGCACTAATTCAAAAGAAAAACTCATTTGTTTAATTTTACCACGTAAAACTTTGACAGCAACTTCAATTGTTTTATTATCATTTTGTTTTAGTACACCTTTATAAACATCACCAAAACATCCTTGACCAATTTTTTCACCTATTGTTAAATATTTTGGATGAATTTGCCATTTTTTTCCTAATTCACACCAAACATCTTGATAAAATTGTGGTGGTTTATTTTGTTTATGATATTTTTCTGATGAATAAAAATACCGACGACGAATTAATATAACTAAAAGAAAGATTAGACTTAATATTGTCATTGATGATAATATTATTAAAATAATCATTGTCCATAAACCCATTTGTTTTGTTATGTATGAAGCAGGTAATAATGATGATTGAGTAGAATTTTGTAAGATAATTTTACCAATTAAAAATGTTAAATTTGTTCCTATTCGAATCTAAACATATACAACAACAACAAAAAAATAAAGTAATATTGAAATAAAAACAAAAACCTATTATTCATACTTCAACATTTGCTTCAAAATCTTGTATAGTATTTAAAGCAAATTTCGATATTAAACACATTAGATATGTATTAGTTAAATTAAATGGTATACAAGCATTATTTATATGATCTATTCGTACATTAATTAAATCAATTGTATGTGTTGATGCAAGATTTGAACCCTTTAGAAAGAAAGGATTTTTTTAATAAAAATAATTAATAAAAGAAAAGAATTATTTTTATTCTACTTCAAATTTGATTATATTTGTTGAATTTATTTCTTGAATATAATCTTCAAATGGATAATAAATAGGATCATGAACAATTATTAAAATATTATCTTCAGGTATTATTTTAATATTATCCATAATAAATGTTACATAAAGATTAATTGGTGGATTTAGACCAAGATTTTTATCAATACTAGGTGATAAACAAATCATTTGTGAACTTGTAATTGATTCACATAACTAACAACAAAGAATGTTTCTTTTTTTTCTATATATTTTTATTTAAACTTACTGAAATGAATTCATAATCCGAAATATTGTAAACAAATTTCATCATTGGCATTTGTACAACATCTAAATTTTCACCATTTACAATTAATTTAAAACCACCACTATAAAACAAAACAAAAAAAAAAAGATTTCATAAACTAATACTTTTTTTTTGTTTTCTATACAAAAATATTGATCAATACCTTAAAATAGATTGTTTTGGATACCAATCAAGTACCATAGGATCACTTTTACATTGAAAATATGTTTTTTCTAATTGCCATATATGATTATTTACTTGAATACTTAATTCTAATTGTTCGATATCATTTACACATGCTTGATTTATACATACAATTTCATTTGTAGTTACTCTAGAAATTAAAATATATTTGTTTCTAACTAAAAATATTTAGTTTTTGAACAACAAAAGCAACTGTTCTTTCATTATTTTTTTGAAGCAAGACTTCTATTACTAATAGAATTTGATGAGTTATAGTTTAGAACAAACATCTGACTTCTATCATCCTTGCTAGATAGAGATAGTATTTGATTTCTAATTCTACATTGTAGACGATAACTCATCAGATTCTATTAGCGATAAAAGTTTTCGTATAGAATAAATAGATCAGTTACATTTGTCGATGACTCGAAAATAATCATACTCAGTTATATGACATTGTTGTTTTCCTAAAAAAATTTTCATTGTTGAAAATAAATCTAAATTATTATCAAAAGCTAAATTTTGAATTCGAATTTTGGTACCACCAGCAGCTGGACCAAAATTAGGTATGAGAATTGGTTTTGGTACCTAAAATAATTTCCTATGTTTTTTCTTTCATCTATCAATTAAAACTAATATTCTTACATAAACATTGAATTTTTCTGTTAATTCAATTGTACCAGATACATCCGTATCACCCTTAGATAATGTACGTTCAGGTTTAATATCAACAGAAATAATTCCGTCAACAGGTTGCTTGGGAATAAATAAACTACATAATAAACTGAAGAACATTAAAAAAAAATCAAAACAAAATCTTTATTTTAATGTTTGGTCATGAAAAAAAACCTGTCATTTCGAATAGTTTCAATCGTACATAAAAATTGATTTTGATTTGGTAAAGGAAATCTAACAATAATTTTAATCAAATGTGCGTTAACACCTTCGAATGAACCAGTTATATTTAATAAAAGTCGTTCAGTATTGATACTAATATTCATTGGTTTAATCTATTCAAAAAAAATCGAGGTTTGATATTGTTTAAATACTAAAAATAAAATAAAATAAAAAAACAAACTTGATCAATTAACGGTGGACATCCACGATCAAATATTAACGAATTTGATGATAAGGAACATTTACCATCGAACCATATACATGATTTACTATCGTAACGTCGACTACCAACACATGATTGACATGTATCATAAAGTGAACATGAATTATATGCATAACGATGTAACTAAATAAATCAATAAATTATATTGTTATAAATAAGATATTTTGTAAAAAAAAAAAAACAAATACCTCAGAAGCAACAGCAAAGATAAGTGATTCATGTTCATAATCGATAACATATTGACTATTAAATGGTTCATTATGATAAATAGCTTCATGTAAAAGATAAAGTTTTGTTTGATTTGACTGAATAAACTAAAAATGACAGAACTAGTTATCTATATTGATACATATGATAAACAAAAAATGTGTGAGAAAACAAATTTTTTTTCTCAGCTAAAATAGAATATATGGATATACTCTTTTGATTAAAATCCATCAAGACAAGAGATATCTGTGTATCTAATAGAAAATCTTTGTTAGATGTATGCAAATAAAACAAAAGCAACTCAAATTTCGTATACAAATATGAATTAAAATATTATTCTTAGCAAAATATAACTAATTATTGATTCTATTGAATAGAAGAAATATTTTCGAACATACGATAAAGGATACTTTCCCTTCCTCTTACGTCATTTTCGGAGAATGTCTCATTAGAAAAATTTTAAATTTTTCAGTACAGATAAATCTTGACAAGTAGAACAAAAGTTGTTATAGACTCAGAGTTCTTGGATGTTGCCTTCTGTGAGATATGAAGATCAAAACAGCAAAAACTTGTCCCTGTTTTCGTTCCCGTTTTTCTGAGATGCTATGCTCTATTGAGCTGAAAACCTTTTGTTTTTGTTTTTTACAAGCATTAAATACTCCTTCGGATTGGTTTATTTTTATTGTTTTGTTCTTCGAATAAATAAGCCAAAATATCGAAGGTATCCTAAAAAATTCACATTTTTTTGAATTGAGATTTTTTTGTAAGAGCGACCACAAATTAATAGAACAATCTTGTGTGAAACAAAAAAAAAAATACCAATCCAAAACAATCTATCGTATATGTGAAAAAAGTTTTTGTTCCATCGAACGTACTATGTTGAAGAGAAACAGAGACATTTCTATGCTTTTTATTTTGATGAAAATGTTAGGTCTAACAGTTATGTAAATCTGATTTATTTTCAAGTTTTTTAAACATTTAAAGACAATGTTTTGACCTCAAAATGTACTCTGTAGATAGATATGACTTTACATTATAATAACCACAAAAATCCCAGGATGTAAATGCAAAAATTTTGGGCCACAAAAAGAGGAAATACTTTTATATCGATAAAATTCTTCTATCTTACTTTTAAAATACGTCGTTCATTCATACCCATAATTACGATATTATCTTGAGCAAAAATAAATTCAATTTTAATATCATTTCTCATAGTTTGATAAATTAAATCTCCAACAGCACCTACAGTTCCATCAATATAAGTATTTGTTCGATATGGTTGCCATGTACACTCATTGAATTCTGTTAGATTTTGTTCAAGTGTTTTTTCACATATTGGTCGTAATTCAATACTATCGACAATATGTGAAAGACGATAACCATTTCCAGCTTGACATTGAATTTTCGATGCTTTAAATGCACTTATGATTTCATTCATTGAATAAATGCAAACAAAATTATCAAATAAAATAAATAAATTATCTATTTTATTAAATGAATGAAAAGCACCTGTTATAATAGATGAATTTTTATCATTAAAACAATTTAATATTGGTATTTCATCATATGTAACATGCATAACTATTGATGATTGGCATAAACGTGCAATACGTGATGATTTTAATATATAATATGTATATTGTTCATAATCAAAACCATATACATATTCATAATTATGTTTTTTAGCTAAACGTTCAGGTAAAAATGTTAATGATGTTACTAATGTATTATCACTTGATTCTAATTGATATTTAATATTATAACTAAGTAAATCTTTACCGATTTCTATTTGTGAATTAATTATATTTCCATTACGTTCAACACGATTTCCACTCAAAGCTGACCGAATTATATTTGATGATATAAATGTATAACAACCAGATAAACAACCAAGATAATTTGTTTCAAGAGTTGAATCAAGTAAATATATTCGACTTATATCATTTGCATCATATAATATACAACGACCAATTAATGAACGTGCACATATAATTAATAATTGTTTTATATGATCATAAACAAAAACACTAACACCATATTCAGTATTATCAATAGATGAATGAAGTTGAACACGTCTATGTAATAATAATAAATTTTGATTTGTTGTTGACCAATGTAATTGATGTAAATGTGATGAAGATATTGCAAATAAAGTTGAAGTATTTTGTATATATAATAAATTATCAATGGATGATTGAAATGTATAACAATTGATTATTGTTATTTTTAATAGAAGAATAAAAATGATTTCTTTGTACATAACTAAACAAATGAAATGTTAAATTTAAAAAAAGATAATTGCTAACGTTTCTTTTTTTTGTTTTCAAAAGAATATGTTTATATATCTTCTTTTGTAATAAGTGTGAAATATAGATTGTACGATCAAAACAATCGGTGAAATCAAAAGAGTATTGAATGAATAAAACGTTTTGTTTTTTGATTTACAACTTTTTTCTTTTAAAATTGAACATGATATTCAATTGAAAGAGAACAAAAAAAAATTCAAAGAATATAGAAAGATTTATTAATAAGTGTGATCTATCATATTTAATCAATCTTCGAATGAAGAGTAATTCAACTAGATTTTATAGATATGTATGTCTTTAATTTTTTCATTGTATCAAAATTACTTTTTTTATATGAGAAAATTTTCAATTCATGCAATAACTACCCTCATAGTTGTGCGTTACGAAAAGTAGAAAAATGAAAAACAGCAGGTTCATTAAATGAATAAATAAAAGATGAAAACAAACCTTTACCTATTTTAAATAGAATAACATATATCACAAAGTATCATTTCTTCTCAAATGATTGCAAAAACAAGACAGTACTCACGCTCGTACTAGAACAAGAAAATAATTTTTTCTCTTCGTCCGTTTATTCTTGAGCAAAGAAAAAAAAAAATCTTTCGCTCTCTTTCTCTCTCTCTCTTTCTGTTTTCTTCTTTTCTCTTCTTCCCTGCTGGTCATGTTCGTCAGAAATGGTATCGTAAACTATGCTTAGCATGTGTCATATGGTTTCTAATGATGATTCATCATTAGAAAAAAGACGGAGATATAACAACAACTGGCATTTACTTTCTTTCTGGTTTCTTTTTTGTTTGCCTTTGATCGGTTATAGTAATGATCGGAGCTAGACAACAATCGGCTATTGGAAGTTTGTATCAAACATATTGAGCTCTTATTTTCTTTCTCTTTTATTCATCGTTGGATATATGTGTACATTTTCTAATCATTTCGGACAGTGTCCGAAAGTATAAGATTAACATTAAACTAGTCTGCAATTATAGACGTGCATATACGGTCAAGTTGTTTTTGTTCGTTTATTCATTCGAAAAGCAAAATAGTAAAAATTGTTAACTGTCGTTTTTCTCTTTTCTATTTGTATCCTATGAAAAGGTATATATGAATCGATAAGTATTTGTTTGTGATGTGTTTAGATCTAATATTTCAATGAATTATAAAAAAATATTTGACAAAATCTAATTGTTACAGATCATTTGATATCCTAAACTTATGGAAAACATATTTTGTAATGGACCAAATCAATGAATACAGAGAAAATGTTGTTTCTATGGATAATCGAAGCCTGTAATGAAAATTGGATTGACTTTCTTACTCATTCATCTTCATATTATCTGGAATGAATATAGACATGATGGATAGGTTAACTCTTAAACATTATATTCTAATGAATGCAAAAAACAATATTTCTTTTTACTTAACGGTCAATTATTTGGATAAACATTATTAATTTTGATTATATTTTTTCGTATCATGTTTTGTTATAGAATAAACAAATAACAGAAAAATATGTTGAAGAAATTAAACGATAATAAAAAAGCGAGAGAAAAAAAGCAAAGTTCTACAATATGATTAATAATTGGAAATGAAAAGATTTATATTTTACAACAAAATAATACAAATATGATTGATTTATCTTAAAAATGAAGTTTTCTCATAATATTTCAATTATTAATTTAATTCTAATCGAGACGACAATCAATATTATCGAAATAATTGCAGACAGATAATGTATAGTTCGTTTATCCGTTAAAAAAATTTATTATTGGCGATGAGTTAATGTTTGTTTTTTAGATTTTTATAATTATTAGTTTCATCATCTCGTTCAATTGAACTTACTACATAACTTGAAGACAACGATAACAATAATTATTTTAATTTTACTAAGTATCTCATCGATATCGACTATACATGAAACAAAAAAATAGTATAACTTTGTAATAAATGATGATTATGATTTTCATAGTTATTCAAGTAGCTGTTGGTACTTGGTAAAAAGAAGAAATTGCTTGTGAAATAAAAGTTGACCGCCCATTCATTCAATGAAAGGAAATATCGTCCTTTCATTGTATTATTATTTATCTAGGGTAAAATAATACTATCGTAGAAAAATGATCGTGCAATTGTTTTTTCTTTTTCAATCCTTAATTATAGAATTATTAGCTGAAATGTAAACCTTACTACCAAGGTTGAAGTTGTTTAGTATAATTAATGTTGACCTATCTCAATCAAAACTATATCAATCAATACGAGGACTACAATTGAAGCTATTATGGGTAACAGCACTGTGAGTGAAGCCCAGATAAGTATCGGAATCATCATTGATTTTCTGATTGATACGAAGTTTGGAGATGAGACCACGAACAATCGAGGGATGTACAGTCGTCATTAATCGGAATGAAAGCCGAAACCAACATCAAGATCAAGTCTGCAACGGAACTCCGGACTGGGACGCGTATTGATATGACGATAGAGATAGAAAGCAATGTCGCAGCTGAGAAAGCAATCAAGACCTGTGCTGAAAATGGACTCAGAATGGAACGAGAACACAGATTGAACGGGAGTGCGGAGTGCTGGGGAGTCTGTGCCCTGAATTGAAGCCATAACCTGCACTGGTAACGACATGTAAATCGGAATTCGAATAGTTTTTTTGGAAGTGTTGGAGATATCTTGTGAAAACGACTGTTCATACTTACTCGCAAAACACACAAGGGATACTCCAAAATATTTTTGCCAATCGGTTAGATAACTGTTCAAGAGTTGACTTCGGTACTGTTTTCCAAAGTATTGTCTCTCATAGGCAATGCATTTCTGCATTCGAATAAAACAGGTCATGTAAGTCATTGTTAACATTCCATTGATAATGTTGAGTTTCATTTCATGTACGTGATATTTGTGTTTTGAAAACAGAAAGAAGTATTATATGAGTTCAGATTTGATGAATATGCTAGACTTGGAGACAATTTCAGATGATATTGCACCAAAAGTCTGTTGATATTCCAGGCTTTCCGTGATCTTAAATTTTCATGGTGAAAACTCAGACCTTAAAATTCAATCTTTTATTTGTCTACTGATACAGTATAAAAACTTACGCTAAGAAGATAGTGACCGGCTAACTTTCGTTTAGCAGATCATAATGATATGTGATAGGTAAAACTAGATTTCATGAATACAATTGCCATGTTTCATTTGTCTGATCTCTTGTTTCGATATGCTTTGAATGCTGATACTGCTTTAAATCATCGACAAAATGACTATGTATTCATTGAGCGCAAAACTTTATAGAACTTTAATTAGACCAATAGCATTGACATAACCACAGATGCAATGATACTGAATGTGTCCTCTATATATTCACATGTTCAATGAGAATCAGCTCCAATTATTACTGGAACAGCATTGAAAGTTTGTCGAGTCAGTCAAAGAACCATCTGAATATGTTACAGCTTCAATATTGAGAAGTAATCGGTTGAAGTTAATGAACCAATTGTAGATACCACATAGTGTTCTAATAAAAATCCTAAAAGTATTTTGATTCCTATTGAAAGTTGATTAGACTATTGAATTTTTAATATGTCTATTTTCGAAAAGTTCTGGAGAATACTATTTTCGTATTTTGATGTAAAACTTTACGCACATAGAGACCGTAACTAGAATATCTTCTATAAAAGAAATATAGAAGTTTTGAATAAAGTCTGTTCAAGATATGAGACTTTTACATAGAGATACTTGTCAATGAATGACATATATAACATGCATTTTTTGAAAACTTCATCTCCGAGAGACTTTGTTCAGAACTTCTGAATCTTTTATGGAAGAGCCTAGTTGAGTTCTTTATAAAAGCAATGTTTCAAATCCATATTTGAAAATATAATCTTTTCAAAAATCAGAGGTCTTACAGAAGCTTCTAAAGAATACACATATTAATAAGTCAATAGCTGAGTCAAATATCAATAGGAAACCAAATCCTTATAGGATTTTTATTAGAATACCATGTCGTACATATAGACAAAAAATAATTGAAATTAGAAGGAGCAACTCAAAAAGTTTCCTCGTTAGTGGAAATAACTCAGTAGATAGATATGACTGCCGTTGACTAGCGCATGGATATGGCTTATATCGTGACTCTTCTCGTCGTCTAAACTCACATGCCCACATATACGAGATACTGATATCCGATTCTATAGATGGCTTCCCGGAAGATTTGAATCTTGTCCAAAATATCAGTAGGCTCATTTTTCAAAAAAAAAATGAACTGGTCATTGCATAGTCTCAAGCTATGATCTTATTAGAATTTTTTTCGATTTGATTCTACTAGTTATTAGAACTGAGAGCTGATGCACATCTAAACGAAAACCGGGCATATCGTAGTTTTTGAAGCACTATGTAGATGTTTGACGATTTTTTCGGGTCACGCTCTTTAATTGACTGGAAGAAAACACGAAAACATAGATTGAGATATCTGCAACACATTGTCGAAAACGCGTATGATTTTCTAAGAACTATTTGAAACTCATCACTGTAGTGCTACCAGTTGCATTTGAATAGAATCAGAAGGCGTCATCTTTTACATCCGAATAACTGTTAGTGATACTTTTTGGTAGGGTTTTTAAATAATAAAATCGATTATTCAGTCGTTTACTTACAGTGTTGAGTGATTCTCAGGAGCAATATTTCTTCGTCATCTATGGCTCTTCTCTCGTGAAACAGAAAAGATTATGATCAAAAATGTGGATTACCAATTATAAATAACTTTACTGTTAAGTGTTTGTTCATCTCAGATTGAATTGTGGGATCTAAGAAACATGAGGATCAGATTTCTGATAAAGTCTTTATTGTCTAACAATAATCTGAATATTTCTTGGTGTTTTTTTTAACGTATACAATAGAAAGAATATTTCCCAACTATGAATCATTCCTGTGGAGTATTGAGAGACGCGTTGGTCCTGTATCCCAA